TGGCTGAATCACATTAAACCTTTGTGTCCTTTCTGTTCACTTTCCTGTCTCAATTATCTATTCATATTCAACCTTATTGCCTTATTACAAAATTCAACTTAGTATCAAAGCCTACTAAACCCTAGGCATGTTTCTCTATGGACTGCTCCCTCACTCCACATTTTTTGTTATCAAGGTGTTTTTCTTTCTTCTTTGAGTTGACCACTAGTTTGCTGATGAGGTAAGCGAACTTTACGCTTTTTACTTATTTCGGGTCTGTTGATGTGTTTGGTAGTATTATTCTGTGATACACCGAGTTTTTTGGCTACTTCTCTATCATTTTAGGTTCCCTGTGCTGATGTCATAAGCACATACTTGGTTCTTTTTTATTTTTTGGCTACTGGTATGTTCGATAGCATTCTTTGTGGGATGCCATTTTTCGGCCGTTCTATTTATGGTGATTTGCCATTGCTTCAGCCTTGTTGCTTTCTCTCTCTCGGTTGGTTTCTCTTACTACCATCATGATTGATTCAATGCACGTTTCTTTGTTACAAGATGTTGATTCCTTGCTATGTTCATTGAAGTTGTCATTGAAGGGAGTTATTACAATTGTTGTTGTATTTTGGCAACTGTATTGTAATTGTTTGTAATAATCATACTATTTTCAAGTTCAAGTTGGATACTTCACTCCAACCGTTCCCTGTTCCAACTTAAGGGGGAGTGTTGGAGGCAAGATTATATTGTCAAAGATATCAGAAGATATTATAATATATGGAGATCCCATGATTTATGCTTATTATGATTTTTTGTATCTTTGATTTATTTTAATTCCTTAACTGAAGGGATTTGATTGCATCTTCTACTTTATATATATATGGTGTATCATGTAAACAAGAGTATTAAGTTGAGTGAACAAAATATGTAGCCCCCTAGGGTTTTGTGTGTATGGATGTTGGCCAATATTGATCGAATCACATTAAACCTTGTGTTCTTTCGTTTCTCTCTCTTGTCTCAATTATCTCTTCGTATTCAACCTTGTTGCCTTATTACAAAATTCAACTGAGAGTCAATGGGTGCTGAATGGTGTAGTTAAAGTGTGTCATATAAGAGTGCGGCTCGCTTTAATGTATATATAATGGAAAAAAAAATTTGTGGACTCGCCACCTCTCTCTCTCTCTCTTCAAATTGTTACTATGTTGCCACAGTTAGCAACGACTCTAAAGTCTAAGTAACTTTTTTTTTTTTTTATCAGCAAAAGACAAAAGCTTTATTGATGAAAAAAGGCATAACACATGCAAAATTTACATCAACGAAGTAGGGAAGTGCAAAAAGCATCATCGCTAACCTCAACAATCCCAACTAGGTTGGCACCGTAGAGGAAGCACAATCATACGCTAGCACTTGACCCAAGATTGGTGAGAAACCAATCAAAAGCAACCAAAAAACAAAACGAAAAACGACCAAAGAAAAAGATTTGTAGCCAACTTCAAACCATCCAAGAACAGCAGTCGAACCTAAACGAATGAGAACCTAGCTGCATAAAATATTTGAGCAGCCAAGAAACTGAACAAAGCAGAGTATTCTCAACAGCAGCCAAACTCAAATCACCCACAGACCACCAAACAGATTCCAGTGAACACATTCCAGTGGCACCATCTCACCTCTATTTCCATGGCAGAGCATAACTGCTTTATACCTGCTGGACTGAGCACTCAACCAGATGGTCTACTAAGGAATATAGAATCCAGATACATTTCCATGTGCTGCCCTATGCACACTACCAGATGAGCCAATCCATCGTTGATCCATAAGTTTCGATATTTCACTTCACCATATACTGCTACCATATACTTGTTAAGTGAAGTGAGTGTTGAATGCAATGGTTTTGAGTTTCGTTTTGTGATCATCATCATCAAAAGAGAAGAAAGAAGGATAAAACTCTCTCACTTCCAACTTGCTCCAACTCAGATTAACATACCAACCCAACCGCAACACACCCACTCAGATAAGACCACTGAATTAGCACAGATCAGCATTATGCACACTGAACACTGAACCACCAGACCTAAGGCAAAATTTGACCAAAGAACTATCCACAACAGGAGCACAACAAGAGCTTCCCACAGCTGACCAATCCTGTTTATCAACCACCAAAACTTGCAGCTATCTGCTTCCATACAGAATCTAGACCAAGAGCAGCAGCATCACACAACACAAGATATGCAAGACAACAGACTCCACAGCAGAACATAATGTAGAATAGAAACACAACCCACCTTATGCAGCAACCTCAAGCCCCTTAAAGTTCATAGGATAAGAGTAGGTCCTTTTGAAGTCCTTAAGCTCATTATGCTGTTCTAATCTCCTCAGCTGAGGCACATAATGGACACGGAATGGTCCAAGCTCTTGCATTGCTCCATAGGCAAGAGAAGAACAACCTGGGCCTTCAGATAGCAGACACTAGTGCAACAACATTAGAGCACTCCACACCAGTAGCCTGTTCAACAACAAAACCACACTTAAGACTGCCCAGCAATGCACAGATGAGCAACCAGATTAGCAGCAGCAGAACTCACCCAGATTCCAGTGAAGGCAGCAAGCCAGTCTATACTCAGCTGCCATGCCTGAAACAATATTGAACCTGGTGCAAATTAAAAACTACATCATTAATGGAGAACTCCACTTTGGCTGGGGAGGATTTAACCCACAAAGCGATTCTGACTCTGACAACCTCACATAAGTCTTCTAAATTTGGTTGAGAACCATTAAAGACACAATCATTCCGATGCTTCCATGTGGACCAAAGGACAGCCAAAGGCACAACCTTCCACATCACTTTCTCAATCTTCTTCATTTTACAAAATGACCACCATTGCAATAACCCTCCCACTAAGTTTGGCATCACCCACTGAACACCCCACCACTTCATAATCTGGGACCACAGTAGCCAGAAAAATGGGCAAAAAAGCAAGATATGGTTGACCGTTTCCACCTCATTTTGATGGAAAACATAGCTCACATTAGCAGCCTCATCTAAGATCCTAATTCTCTGGAGGTAGCTGGATGTTTTCACCTTGCCTAACCAAGCCGACCGCCCAAAGAATTTGACTTTTGGTGGTGCACAGTTGTTCCATACTTCCCTTGCCACTTTCCTGTCAGGACCCAATAATGATTCACATCTTTTATAACCTGAAGCAGCAGAATACATCCCAAAGGGATCAGCCCTCCAATTCCATATATCGGGTGATATGACCCTCACTGCCGGTACACTCCTAAGTAAGGTATGTAACCTATTTACCTCCTCCTCTTCCCAAGCCAACAAAGGTCTCCTAAACTCCAAAAACCAGTCCTGAAACCCTCCACTACGGGTATAGAAGTTAGACACTACTCCATCTTTAACAGTAGACAGAGAGAAAAGTCTGGGAAATTTATCCTTTAAACACAACTCCCCTGCCCATTTATCCCTCCAGAATTGTGCTCTCCTACCATTCCCCAAAATAATTGCAGAGTTTTCAAGATAGAAATTATGTAATATAGGTTAGAGATAACTGCCGTAATTATGTAGACTAAATTTTTGAGCCTCTAACTCTTCTTCCAAATCTGGCAGCCATCTTCCACCCCCCATGTTATATTTTGAGCATATGACTTCCTTCCATAGCGAGTGATTTTCCACCCCAAACCTCCACCACCATTTCAATAGGAGGCAGGAGGCACTTATTCATATTAGTGATTCTTCTGATTCCCAAACCTCCCAAAGTTTTGCTCTTGGTAGTATTCTCCCAACTAACCATGTGAACTTTCCTTCTAAGGTTTAATCCCCCCCCAAAAAAATTAGCTTGAATTTTGTCAATTTCCTTTGCCACCCCCATGGGTATTTTGAACAGTGACAGATAATAAGTAGGCAAGTTGCTCATAACGGATTTAATTAAAGTTAGCCTCCCAGCAAACGATAGCAACCTTCTCTTCCATGTGGATAATTTTTGCTTAAATTTGTCTAAAACTGGCTTCCAAGTGCTTAAACTACTAGGATTAGCTCCTAGAGGTAACCCAAGGTACTTTAAAGGCAAATTTTGGTGAACACATTTTAATTTAGATGCAAAACTTTGCATCAGACCCTCTTCTACTCTGATCCCAGCAATCACACTCTTATGATAGTTAATTTTCAGCCCCGAAAGAATTTCAAAGCACCTGAGAATTCTTTTAATGGTCACCACTTCCACCCACTTAGCTTCACAAAATAGAACTGTATCATCGGCGAATTGTAGATGCGTAACTCTTACCCCATTATTACCAATCACAACTCCTTGGATTAAACCCATTTCCTTGGCTTTATCAAACAAAATATTCAACCCCTCAGCCACTATATTGAATAGAAAAGGTGACAATGGATCGCCTTGCCGTAAACCTCGCTGTGGGCAAAATTCCTCGGTTGGTGAACCATTTACCAGGACCGACACCTTTGTGGAGGTAACACAATTTTTCAACCATTTCACCCATCTAGCTCCAAATCCAAAGTTGGATAACATAGAGAATAAGAATTCCCAATTGACCAAATCATATGCCTTCTCAAAGTCTAGTTTCAAAACCAAACCTTTCTTATTTGATTTTCTCCACCTACCAACTATCTCGTTTGCAATAAGGATCCCATCAAGAATATTCCTTCCCCCTAGAAAAGTTGATTGGGCCTCACTAATTACCTGTGGCATCACTTGTTTCATCCTATGTGACAAAACTTTAGCTAGGATTTTATACAAGGAGTCAATAAGACTTATGGGCCTATATTCACTCAAGTTTGATGGACTGTCCACTTTTGGGATTAGAACAATAAAAGAGCTATTTAAACTAGAAACCAATGTGGCATTTTGATGAAACTCTCTAAAGAAGAGCATTACCTCAGGTTTAACTATTCCCCAACATTTCTTAAAGAAAGCCAAATCAAAGCCATCAGGCCTAGGAGCTTTGTTGCCTTCACAGCTCTTAATTAATAACATTCCTAACTTCCTCCTCGGTAAACTCTACTTCTAATATATCTGCTGCTCTAGCATTTTATTCAATCTCCAAACTTCCCCCATTAGTTCCCTTCTTCGAGCTTGTTCATTCCCCAGGAGTGCTCTTTCTTCAGCAATTAGTTCAATAGCATGTGCTTCCTCTTCAGCAGCTTTGATTTTAAATTCAATCTTCCCAAACACTTCAATATTCCACACTTTTAATTTTTGTTTCAAGGCTTTAAGCTTCTTAAGGCATCTGTACCCAGCCCAACCGAACACCTGAGATTCTGACCAAGATTCCTCCACTAAGGAAATAAACTTGGGATGGAGGGCCCAAGCATTCAAGAACCTAAAAGGTCTAGGTCCCCAATCTCTTTCGTCCTCCATCAATATTATAGGACAATGGTCAGATAGTAGCCTAGGAAGTCCCCATAACTTGAAATTGAAATTTTGTAGCCACTCATCATTAAGTAAAAATCTATCAATTCTGCTCCATTTCTCTCTAATTTGTGAGTTGCACCAGGTAAATTTCCTACCAAGCATTGGTAAATCAATCATTTCTAGTTGGTCAATCATGGTATTAAACTCCCTCATTCCTCTGTCTCTACGAGAACACCCAATTCTTTCTGAAATGGTCCTTATTTCGTTGAAATCGCCCCCCATACACCATGGCCCCAAGAAAGTATTCTTTAACCGAGCAAAATTATCCCATAATTCTTTCCTCTTAGCCACCTCCGATGGATCATATACATTAACAATCACACAGTTAAAGGAGGAAAAGAGAGTACCTGACAACAAGATGAAATTTCGGTTGCCATAACAAGTATTTAATTGGAACACCCTTGGATTCCAAATACATAACAGCCCACCTGCTCTGCCTTCTGCATCCACTGCCATATACTCAATATTATCTTCGTACCAGATGGATTTTGCCACTTCAGGAGTGATTGTTGAACGCTTTGTCTCTTGGATCAACACTAAACTAATTTTCCTTTCCGCCCTTTTAATTTTTCTCCTTTTCTCAAGCCTACCAAGGCCTCTAACATTCCAAGATTGTATCTTCATTACAAGAATTGTTTATCACCCAAACTCCCAGAACAAAAAACTCAGTTAGCTTCACCTCCCCTACTCCCCACTTTCCTTCTATCGTTGGCCTCTAGTTCCCCTAACTTGCTAATCATCTCCTCTTCCTTACCATCACAGGCTACCCCCAACACTTTACGAATCTGAAGTGATGCTTCGACCTCTGATAATCTTAAGCATCCTCTACTAGACTTACTTGCCATGGATAGAGAAATAGCAGCTACTGCTGACCTGAAAACTGCCCCTTTCCTTAGATTCATTAGTGGCTTCACAGATTTCTTTACCACTGCTTTCTTCCCCTTCTAAGAAAATTTATGGCTTCTAGTTTCTACTCCTGACTCCTTCATAGATTTCCTTCGTATATAAGTTGTGTTCACCCTTCTATTTACTGAGTTGGGCTGCTCTTCACCAATAACAGATTCAAGAATTGATTGGTTATTGAACACCCTTCTAAACTCGAAATTGGACTGCCCCACTCCATTAGCAGATTCAGTGATAGATTTGCTATTATTTTCGGCCCAAATAAATGGAGCTTCAGCCCTTTGGGCCGACCCAATCCTACATGTTTCAAAATGGGCCCTATATAAATTCACTTCCTGGTTAATTCCTGGTTGCTTCCCTGCAGACCCACTCGTGCTTCTTATGAACCCAGATGTGACCACTTTATCATCAACTCTACAACTACCCTCCTTGCGTGCGCCACCCTTCTCTGACACCCCTTTACAGAGCCTCCTTGCAGAGCCCTCCTCACGTGAGGCGCCTACCCCTGACGCACCCTCTATCATGTTTGTCTCCTCCACCACTGAAACCACCCTCTAGCTGGCATCCTCCTCCAAGTCATTCATGTTAACTTGTGCATCCACCCTAACCCCTTCTTCCACGTCACAGCCTTTAGCCACCTCATCGTCCATATAGGCTTCCACATCATCCCCTTCTACCTCTTGTCTGTTGCCTCGATCTACAATATTCTCATCTTCTTCCTCTGAACTGTAACTATCTGCATTGTTCCTCACGAAAGATTGGCAGATACAGTTTTCTTTCACTATTTGTGATACTATGATTTGTTCCTCACAAATTCGGACTGGGTAGAGGACACCTTTGCATTCTAAATTTATGGTATGATTAATGGTGCCCATGTGCCTTGTTTCTACCTTTACCTTCCCGCAATGGAAGGATTTCAGATTAGCTGTGTCTTCATCCAATTCTAGAACCTCACCTCACACTTTACCTCTGCTACAAAACATGTTATTATTCCACAGTACCAGCGGCACACCATAACAGCTTAACCACACTGTAGCAACACGCCCGCGAGGGACTCTCGCTACAGTTCGGACTCGATTAGTGTCACGGTTCTTAATCTGAACCAAAGAGTTCAAATCTGGCAAATTGTTTTGAGAAAACAGATTTTTGAAAGAAGTGCCAAACATGGACTGCTTTGCCAGATATAGAGTCGCCACCTAAATATTTTATTTTGGGGAATTTAGGAAACCCTGACTCGGTGCCAAAGGCCACGTGTCCGCCATCACCAAAGTAGCCTCGGCTCGGGAACTTGGGAATGATTAGGGAAGGTCAGCTATGAGCACCCCCTCTCGCCCGATCAAAGATCGGCCTCTACTAACCGTGATATCTTGTTTTGAAAGCATTATGTGATCTTATTCCGGTTATTAGCCTAGAATTACTATGTTATGCGCACAGCACAAAAGTATAGACTAGATTGCCTAATTTGGGAATAAGCATTGCATATCCGTTTGTTTTGGAAAAATGTTTTGGAATTTGCTACTCGCAAGTAGGCTAAAACACGGTTTTCAATGAGCTATTCAAACTCAGGCAATCCGAGGCATTCAAGCAGTAATATCATGTAAACATATAGCCACATGGCAAGCATACTGTCATGTTAACATTCACACTCATGCGAGATGCTAAAGCATAAATACTTACATAGTACACCAAGCTAAAACAGGGAACTCGTTAGCAATCAATGCATGATCCAAGTCCATGTTTAAATGCCTAATGCAACGCATACGGAATGTCACTAGAGTAGGCTCGGCTAGTCTATGAATGACATGTGAAAATGCACAAATAGCATGTATTGAAGTTCGATTTGAAATACTAATGTAGTTAGCATGATGCGCCGAGCTCGGTGCATGAAATACTGATGAATGATGCACGCATGCATAGCATAAGGTATGCTAAATTAAACATGTCCTATTACTAACCATCAAAACAGGTAAGTAAAAGGGAGAAAGAAGTGTGGGTTGGAAGACATGCACACACTCACCCACACTTATTACAAATTTGCCCTCGCTCGAAGGAACCGAAAGAATAATACAACCCGAATAATGAATTGCCTATCCTAGCTAATTAATTATTACAGACCCTCTAATTTAACAAATTAAATGCAGAATAGAGATGCCCGCAGCCCTGCCTCAGGATACGCGAATGATGCATGCTCGATCCATCTTGCTCGGAAACCCGTACCATGCCACTGCTGCCTCTGTTAATGCTGCCCTGCTCCTCTGAAAATTGCCAAAGTCTTGGGATATGTTCTCTGCACACTGTAGAACACCATCGGCTAAGAGAAATAACCACTGGCCATGGGAAATTTCCATTGGCTGCTTTCAAGTCCATCGGCCGCATATTCTTTGCCGGTCGGCATTAAACACTGCCGATCGGCCACAAATTCCTACTGGGACCTGCAGTTTGACAGCAGCAGAGGGCAAAGCAGTACATGGCATGGAATTTTGAGCAAATGTGAGCTTAGTCACACTCCCAATCATGCAAGAGACTCAAGGGGGCGTGACCATTGACCTTCGGGCCATTAATTGTGCATTTTTTATGCATGATGGCCTAAGAGGCCAAGGTTGCGATTCAATGTAAAATGCATGCAGACAAAACACATGAATACCAACACCCTATCATGTTGGAGTCAAGGGGATTGGCGACCGAGGGTTGAAGCGTGTTTTGTCACTTGAAATACAAACACTCCTCAATCCCCATGCCCGGTTTGACACCCCAAACCAAGCAATGCGATGCATATATACAAACTTGGCTCAAATGCACAACAATATACAAACTTGGCTCAAATGCACAACATGAGGTTAAAATGCAAAACATGCCAAATGTAATGCAACCTAAACATGCAAACTAAGTTAGTTCATTCTAAATGTGCCAAGTATGGTACAATGTATATGAGATGCAACTAGATAAATGCCATGCCAACATGCAAGTATGATACAATGTAAGCATGAGGACCAAAACAATGCAACATGATCATGCAACGGTGGTGCTAAACCATGAAGGGCAGGCCTTAGTCCACCCCAAAACAGTGACCAAAAAGTGTCCAAAATGGTGAACAAGCACTCATGCCGACATGCAAGCCAAAGGGGCCCAAAGCTAAGGCACAAACAAGGGGCATTCTACTACAACCCTCATGACCACTCATGGCATGGACTAAGCGACCAAAAACAGATGTTCAATGCAGCAAAATACGCCCCAAAACCCGCTGATATGGCAGCCCCAAAATGCCTTAAACATACAAGCATGCACAATGCTCATTTCAAGGCACAAAACTACAACGCCTTAAAGCATGGGAAGGGACACAAATGACAATATAAGACCACCTTACATGGACTAAAATATGATCTTAAATAATGCCAAATCATGAGGATAGTCTAAGTTAAGCATGCTAGAAGCCAAAATACTCAAGGCCTACAAGCCAAAATGCAAAGCAACTACATCAAGCATGCCAAATATGACCAAAACAGTGGCCAACAGACCTAAAGCATGACAAATCATGACCGAAAGCTTCAACAAGCTAAGCTAAATCATGCAAGCATGGAAGCCTAAATAGAAGATGCATTTCTATGCAAAAGGGAGGGATACAAAACAAGGGTATTATGCATGAAAAGACCACAAACCCGACCAAAGATAGAGATATATTATGATCAAAAGACACCTAAAAACCTCTGAAACAGGGCCAAAATCAGTCAAGCATA